TCCAAATTTGAGATGATTAAGTTTGTACATCATTAGAATTGACTCGTTCATAATATCCTGTGAAGAAATCGTTTGAATTGATTAGAACAATATATCGAGAAAATACCTCTGAATCGAATCTCAGAAGATTACTTTTCATTTCTAATTCACTTTTTGTGAGGTTTTTCAGACACACTGATCCTCCAGACAAATTCAAGTATATTGAAATCGGTTGTATTTATGAATGGACAACCTTAGTGAAAGTCCTCTTAGAATTTATCGTAGAATTTAAAAAAGAAATGAAAAGTGGGGCGTTTCGTTTAAAGAACAAAACTCTGATATACTTATTGTATTTGAATTGAAGAGAATTTTAAATCACGCTCCTTAGTCACCTACGTCGTCTGGTTATGAAACATCTTCAGAAATATTGTTGATTAGTTAATTAGTTCACTTCACTTCCTTGACCTAATTACCACTCAAATATTTTGTTGTGATGTCTTGAAAAAAACAGGCGTAGAAGTTCATGCGCCGCACTTTTCGCAATACTCATCCCGAGTGAGCCTACTGCGATCTCGCTAAAATTTCAAATTCTCGATATTTTGCTTCACATTGGGGATACCTATATGAGTTATTCAAAAAAGTTTCTCGACCCTACATACCGAATTTCAACCCAAAATTCGAGCAGTGCTTGAAGGCTTCAGTATAATCTCTGTACCTTTTAAAACCTGAAAAATTTTGCTAACAGCCGACGTCCGGGTCAACGACGACTTCGATCTTCGTTTTTTGCTCGGCAATCGCATTTATATTTGGTTACGCCTGAATTACCGCAACGAAAGCAAAATAATTTTTCCATAGGTTCACTACATGTCCGAAATGTGTGACCCTCATCACCACAATTCCAACAGTTCATCGAACTAACGCGCACAGAACGATTATGTGTTATAGTTCTCGAAACCCCTGTATGATAAGCCAAATCGGGTTCCAACAGATTAACGGAATTTGCATATCTACCACGATGATTAATTCGATCGGACATAATACGAGAGGACTCTAATTTTTTACATAACAACTTGAGCTCATTTACCGTCCCATAACTAGCTAAACCCAATTTTTCTATATAATACGGTTCGAGAATTCTACGAATGATTTCTAATTTATCTCTTTCTACTAACGGTGATGGTAATCTATTGAACATATTCGAAATTCTTGCAAAAAATTCTCCTACCGGTTCGTGATGTCCTTGATGGCTTACCTGTCGGTTAAAATTCATTTTTTCATTCCCTCACGAAATCAGACCACGAATTGATAGTATGCCGAACCGAACGATACCAACTTTTAGCTCTACCGTCTAAAAGATCAATAATCCCAAGAAACATTTCAGTATTGGAAACCCCTCGCGCGATCCGAAATTCTTCAACTAATTCCAAAAATGCGCTTACACTCAATGAACCCTTTATCCCCGTGAACCGAAAATTCCATTTATGAATATTACCGCCGGATGAAAAAGAAGTGGTTGGAGTTGTTATAGTGGATGATTGAGTTTGAGTAGCAAGTGGAGCAGATGATACATCCCCCTCACTTAGTTTTTGATCAAAACTAGTTTCAACTATACTCAATTGATCAATAAATTTTTTTAAACAATTTTTTTAAATATCATCATCAGTTTCCAATCTATTCAATCTACTCAGTAAATGTTGTAACTTTGCTTCAACAAATTTTGTTTCACTACTAGAAGCTGAGCGAAAAACATGACTGGAAATATAATTTTCAAGATCAACAATTTTTTTGTTACAAACATCTATCTCCTGAGTTATATCTAGATTGCAAGAATCAACTTCCTTCACTGCTTCCAAACATCTCCCCCTGTATTAGTTCTTTCAACTGACGACGCATTGATAACACCGTTTCGGCTTGAGTATTGGAAAAACCTCTAATATGTAATTCGTACTCTAGTTCGTCTCTAATTAACTTTGACACATCCATATTCATAAACTTTGATTACAAATATCAAAATTAGTTAATCAATGAAAAATTCAAATCGTGAATAATAGATATCAAATATAATAATGGTATATGAATATCGTGTTACAAAAGCAATAAACAATCATACAATATTCTGTTCGTACAGCTGCAAAGATATACCATAAAAATATAAAGCAAAAACAAAAATCCTAACCTTCACACAAAAAAAGGATTAAAATTGGAACAGGGTCCCACGTTCGAGGCGCCACTTTATTACGTTTACCCGTAGGTTTATTAATTTCCAGATATAACGTAGTTACTTTTTGTTTTGGTTTAAGTACGGTCGGTTTAGTTACCAACTCGAAACATTCAACAGGGCCGTGGATCAAAGATGTTATTACCAATAAAATAAAAGATTTCTAATCAAAATGGGCGCCAAGTGATTTGGCCGGCTTTTATTACAAAAATCACTAAACTATACAAGAGATAACTACAAGATTCAATCCTAAACTAATACCCAGGGTGTGACCTAATATATGGATATGATAAATCACGATAAAGAAAAACTCCAAGGTCACTGAGTCTTAATGTTCTACTCAACGATGTAATGAGCCGATTCTTGCAAGAACTTCGGTGGGAAGAATTGAATGTGAACAGGCAACACATCAATCATTCAATTCTTCTTCTTAACTATGAATACGGTTCCTAGTATAACATAAAATATAGGCATCGGTTTGTCCTTAATTAATTCACTTCACAAAAATATGATCTTTCAATTCTTATGTTTATTGCTTCCGTAACGATTTTTTTTAAGAAAAAGAAAATCCTCTACGAGGTACTTATCCTCGTCGATTATATTATCCAAGTCCGTTGCATATAATCACCAGGTAAAAAGGTGTAGCAATACCAAACTTAACAGTAGTCGCAATACTTCGGGAAGTAAAACAGGCTAAAATTTCCTTCTGGATACACAACGAGTGTAGGAAACTCATAAATATGGAACGTGGTCCGTGAGAAATGAAACGTCTGAAATTATGAACAGTTCAAGGTATTTTCAAAGTTTATGTTTCTAAAAAAATGTCGAACGCTTACCTCCTTGTGTCGAGATCCCTAACACAACAGGAGACGTTTCGAAATCAATGTATTATCTTAATCCAAACTCGTTTGAAACAAGGGTTGAATTCACTTTTAAATAACCCAAAAATGCATCAAACATTCAACCCTTAACAGCCTTTGAAATGTATATCCGCACTGTTGCGAAAATCAATCAATGATAGTTAAAAACACATTTACTAGGCAGATATCTTCATGAATTTCTCCAGAAATCGCTATCTCATTTACGTCGTTTCCATTCAGTACCGAGCCCAAGAGTTTTTGTCGCATAGAAAAAAATTTATGAAGAAGTGACTACTTTTATAGGGTGTTCGTGATACAGGAACTATATTCAATTGATGTTGAATCGATGCAAGGAATTAATTAAACAGAAAATATCGTAACAGTTTGTTTATTATTTTAAATCTAAATCCTAGCTTTTTTTATCCAATTCTGAAGAGTTTTGTCATAGCAACTCATGTAATGGCCGGAAGTATTCAATCTCTTCCTTATGATATCAGTTGTAAAAATCTCATTGCTTTTGTAACTGTCGTATATTGGTTTTTTCAATGATTTTATTGGATGAACATCTCAAGGTTTTGGTATTCACATTGCGTCTTGCGTTTATAAGGTTTGTTTTTGACTATTTTACGTACAGTTGAGAAAGGAATTGCGGTCAAATCTGATGTTGCTTATAGTTTGTTTCCCTCGAAACCAAACTTGAGATGTAGATTCTTATATACGTTGAAACATACCTACTCTGTGTTTCAATATTCAAATGCATCCGAATCTTATTCACTAGCATCTCTTTTTCGCATTGTTCACCATCACTATTAGAATCACTACACAGGAAAAAGTCTGCGTTGATATTACACTTGTTATTACGTTACTATTAGTACTTGTGCAAGGAAACCACATTTCAAACAGATAACAAAAAATTTCAAGTAATTATAACTGCACCAGTATCGAATTTCAACACTCAAATCGCGATCAGTTCCTGAACTGAACATTGACAACACGATTGCTATAACCATCCTTGCATTCTATTGGTCACCGTAACCTGACTTCAAATTTAATGTCATGACTCTTCAGTCAATCATAAAACTCTGTTAGTAAAAATTATCCAATACAAACCAATTCTTCAGTCCACATGGACTAGTTGGCAGCGGCTTTATTTCTCTGTAGTTTTTTTTGGCCTTTAAGAACGCCGACACCTTTAACTATGCACAATACCAATTACTTCGACTATATCTATATTAATAAATTGATGGATGTAGCCGTTACTTCGCGGTATGAGGAATAAAACTTTCTATGTTTTTTCCCATTTGTATTTGTAACTAACGTTACTGCAGTTTCGTCCTATGAGGGCATTTTCGAATCTATACAATAAACATCATTATTAATATTATTGTAAGCATTCTCATTCTCACTCTCTCACACATACGCACGCACCCATGCACGCACACACACGTACGCACGCACGCCCGCGCGCGCACACATACACACACACACTGTTTAATCTCTATTTCTTTTTTGAATTTCTGTTGACGAGATTCTGCAATCATTCAAAATATTATCATTATTTTTATTATTCAGTTCCAGTTTAATGTGTAGCCAGAAAAAAAATCTCTACTTCCTTGAAAGATAATGTGACAATTCTTCGTTTTATACCTATTAATAACACACACCTTTTTTGCACTGAATGCAAAGTTCAGAACATTTAATTGAAGAAAACTTACGTAATTGAGTAACACTCAATTGCGAGATTTTTACTTAACAGTTTACAAAACCACTTCTAGATTCAGTCAGTGAACATCCCTGAAGATAACATAGTGAAACACACGCCGCGGTTTTATAAACTATTGGGTGAAAATCTCACAATAAAGAATTATTAAAATGTTATCATAGATTTTCATCAAGTATTCACCAATTCTATTACATTTGGAGTTGTAAACAAAAATACTTACGATGAAGTGTATGTTGGGGATTGTCAATGATTCGAATCTGTCTATCGGGCACGATCGGTTCTCCGTCAGGACCTCCGACGTCCTCCGGTAACTGATACCTATAATAACAATAATAATTATAATAACAATAATAATAATAATCTAGACTCTATCCAGACCACTCTGTCAAGATGGTTGTTCTGATTATTGGAGTCCTTGGTGGAATGATGCCCTCTCTACTCCCGAATCTTAAAATCATACCGGCCTGTCGCACTAAGGCAGAAATCTTAGCCACACAGATGCAGAAGGCTGTCATTCTTGGCTCACTGCGCTTGCTCAGGGTACATGATTCTCGGACCCAATGAGCACTTGCCCCACGGTGTGGGGAGTGGTCACTGGTTGATAATGCTAGCGCGCCCACCTGAATGTATTGGGGCTTCGGGGAATAGGGCATGATGACCAGCGCACACTACGGTGAAAATAATAATAATAATAATAATGATGACAGATTATTGGAGTCATTGGTGGAATGATGCCCTCTCTACTCTCGAATCTTAAAATCATAGGCAGAAATCTTAGCCGCACAGATGCAGAAGGCTGTCATTCTTGGCGCACTGTGCTTGCTCAGGGCACATGATTCTCGGATCCAATAATCACTTACCCCACGGTGTGGAGCGCATACTTCGATGAAAAAAAATTATAATAATAATAATAATGTATGCTTATCAAAGCACCTGACTTTCGCTTTCCTCAGGTCGAGTGGGCTGAAGTCGAAAACTGAGGGGTTCATCATGGCTTGCCAAATTGGTGTCTTCAACACCTTAGTCTACCGCAGTCGCGTGATGGGTATAGAGGTTCCTGACTCAAGACGCAGGGCCTGCCGCGGGGCGCCCGAGACCCTAATACACTTGGTATCAGCATGTCCAGCATATGCGGTCTCAGCCTATACCCATCGACATAACGCGGCCCTAATAGTGCTATATTACCGTCTACGGCATTCTTACGGTATTGACAAGACACCGGTGGTGCCCTACGCTCCGTGGGATATTGAATCCGTCTATATCACAGCCAATAATACGAAACCCATTCAGAGATGAATTCGTACAATACAAAGAATCGACCGTTTCCATACATATCAGCGACCCTGTATAAGGATGATGAGCGATTTATAATTCCTAATACCACCAAGACATAAACCTGGGGACATACTCATTTTGAACTCCATCAAAAGAGCCCCCAAAAAATTCTGAGAATTATTGTGAAAGTATTGAAAGATGGAAACAATATCACTGATGGAAATTTAAATCACCAACTTTGTCGGCGACACCCACCTTGATAGATTTGCTGGAGGCTTACAACACGAACCTCAATGTGTCGCTGCCGATCAGACGCGGTTCACCCCGGACTGTACGTGGGGATCTCGTAAACGATAAGAGATAGAGTGTCGGTTAAATTGGCAAAGTTGCGTATTTTAGAGACCTATTCAATGATGTGAAAAAATCGAATATAGCTCTTTTTGTTCCGGAGATATACAGGAAAAACAAAAAAATCCCAAATAATTTTTTGCCTATATATTCTTTATTTGCATACATATTGAAAATCTGTCTACATTTCGCTATTGGCACTTGATGTGGACTATCATAATATGTCCATGAATCTTTTGTACAGAGTATCATATGACTTGGCCCACCCCCATCTTTGAATTTTTAAATACGGACCTGTTTTTTGTTGTAGTTTTTGTATCGTCGACGTTCACTTCATACTGAACAATTAAATTCAATTTTATATTTCAAGATGTTTCCATAATATTTGATTATAATTGTGCGAATTATTACCTTTTAAATTACGGCCCTGGAAATTGGTTGACTGGTTGAATAAAAACACAATAGCAACTTTCACGTCTCCCTGTGTATTTTTAGGTACCTATTCACACAAATATTTCCCAAAATCGGATATATCTTGCCAGGGGTGTATTTTAGGTATAGGATATTCTTCATGAATTTGATATCTTTTTTTTTTCGTAGTATCGAAAAATAATAGAATCATGTATGGTTTCTACTTGAAAAAATCGTGTTTCATCAGTTTTCTCGATGTTATGTTTTAGGTGGAAATTTCGACCAACCTGTAAATTATTTTCGAAAATTCGATGGACCTGGTCATGACTTGCTGATTGAGGTGTGATTCTGTGAAATTTCACATTTTCAACTGTTACTGACAATGAGTTATGATTTTTTCGGAGTGATGCTGTAACTGTCAAATTTTTCAGAAAAAAATTAATATCTCGAAAACTAACAAATTTGAGCATAGGCATTGTTATACAAAGTGGGCCTAAAATGTCATGAGAAATTCAAAAATGTAATAAAATACAGGGTGTTCCATTTCAAATAAGGAAGTTGCCCTCAACTTCCGGGATAACGGAAAGAGACCGGAAGTTGAAAATATTTTAGTTGAAAAGGCCATTTGGAAAACCCACTACCACAAAATTTCAAGTTTTTATTTTGAATCGTTCTCTATATATTCCTAACGAACGCTCGTCGTGAAAGACCCTGTATCTTATGCAGCCCACTTTTGCATCCCAACTTTTGAGGGGTGAAGAGATTATAGTAAATAATCGCTACTCCAATTTTACGAAGCCCTAATATGTATAATCAACTGTTTTGGAAACTTCGATTATAAGAAGCCTCGTAATACTATGATTATTGTGTAAATATTTGGTTTAGGTGAATTTCGTGTGCAGTATAAATCAGTATTGACCTGTAGGTAGCCCCTGAGTTTTGTCAGTGAACTTTTTTAATAATTATGGTACATAGATCTAATAATCGTATGAGCAAGAGTAGTAGTGTAATGAAGAGTTCTGAGTTTTTATTCAAATTAACAGTTGTTAATAACGACGTCAAATCTGTTCAAGATGCTATCTATAACCTAATTGATTACGAAAAGGTAAGTTCTATTTATATTGCAGTCATAATAACATTATATACATAATATATTCATAATTTTTATCAATATGTCTTGTGTGAGTTGAGAAGATGAATAATATAAAATTCGAAAAGGCTATTTGTGATTCAGAATTATTTCAATATTTTGGTCATCAGGAAAATGTGTTAATGATATGTTATTTTCAGGCTCATACTCCACTGAGAAGTTCCTTTCCCTCTAGGATTCTTTCTGATAATTTCATCGAACAAAAATTCAACGCTGACACGAATGACGAACAACTTGACTGCTTAAAGCATATTGCTAATTCCGAAAGAAATTATGACGTGAATAATTTATAAGGTTTGAATTCCGAAAAAAACAGTCGAAGTTACGAAGAATTCTGAAATTTTGAAAGTTCTGGTTCAATGTATATCCCATCTCCAGTACTGAATCGTTTTATCCATTCCTGCAAGCAGCCCTCATCCTAGGGTGCCGTACAACAATTAGGTTCCGTGATCCTTTACATTTTAGTTCAGTTCATGCTGTAGGTCTTGGCTAGGTGAGTAGATTTCGCGATCCAAGGGTGAGCTTGAAAATAATATTTCCTTGAATCCTTCCCTCTAGCTAATTCCTCGTCAGACAAGCGCGAGCACAACTTCTAGGTCATACAACAGTGCCGAATCGCGAGGTCACAATATTCGGCCAAATGAATCCTTCATAACACACTTTTAGTTGCCTAAGTGCAACTCCTATGAAGCTACGCGGAACACCCCAGGAATCTGTCTTCAGCGGAAGCAGTATTCCACGAACTCCTGTAGGGACGGCTTGCCTGAGGCTGTCTCCTAGACATCGTGTCAATCTTGCGCGTTCAAGGCCATTGGTGCCTCATCCCTGGTCGCACAGCGACAACCCCCGAACACTGTCGGTTTTTCTAGGAGACGTAGAGAACGAGCCAGTCCTCAATTCACGTAAACTCGTCCTGAAATAGTTTATTTGTGTTGAAGCGATTTAGGGATTTAAATATGTCAAACACATAGCAAATGGACATGAGAGATTCTGCAGCAAGAACGACGTGAGATGTCACAACACAAGAAAAGTGGACTTGGAAAATTCAGCGAGGGAACTTATGCGGGACAGAAAACACAAGAATGTCGGAAAAGGCAAATAGCGTGCCGACTTTTCTGTCTGAAAGTTAGTCGCTGAGAGTTAGCGAGCGGGAGTTGTTGTCTACCTATGTGGTAGACACCTAACATTATATTGTATACAAGGTGTGCAGCCACTCTGCTAATACAGAACAGACAAAAACTACACCATAATCGATCCCAACCAAGAGTCGACGACACAGCGAGATGGAATTCGGAAATGGAAGGACAGTTCGTCCGACGCCAGGCGTCGCGATGCCCCCGAACGGAAACCCTTAGAGGTTCTCGGATTGACACAGCGCACAGTGTGTCAATTCAACGCATCGAACTGGCGCCCTTGTGGATAAACCAGGGGGTGGCTTCATGACGGGGCCACTTTCCAGCAGCGACAAATAGACCACGACCAAACCTAGAGTCAGCCAGACAAACCAAACCTCTTATCGTACCTAGACAGGAACTGAGCTCTGAAATCCCTTAGACTCAGTTCTGAGAGACTAGCCGGCCGTTACGGCATATGGAATACGGAAACGGCGAAGCACCTGCCACTGACATTCGAGCCGTGAATTTGGAGCGCCAGCCAATCGCCTTTAGGTCGTGTACTGATAGGCGCGCAGTGTCTAACACATGTGAATTTGCAGTCGTGGGTGCGAAACACCCATCAATTTCATCACAATTACAGATGTAATTCATGATGACACGTTTCAAGTCTGAAATTTTCAATGTCACTATTAAAGTTCACCCCCACCATTATAAAAATTCCACCTGGGACATATGAAATTTATGAAATCAATGAGGTGATTCAAAAATCCTTCAAATCCAAAAAACTACAACAAGAAATTGGAGTTGAAAAGAATATCGACGAAGTATTTCTCCTATAGACAAATAACACCATTCTGAAATGGGGTCGAAATACAACATCAATCTCAAACGTTAAAACACCATTACTGAACTCCTGGGGTTTGATGACAATGTGTTTAGCTGTGCAAGAACCACGTGAATCAACATTACCCGTAAATAACAATAAGGTTAGATTTATTCGTGTGGATTGTAATGTCACT